TGTTCTGCTTTTGGGAATTTTAAGGTACTAGAATTTCAGGATCTTGTGGATAAGATGGTATGCAGACAACAAACAAGTTTCACCAAGTCTAGAGCTAGTCTTTTATGATAATCTATGTCAAAGTCAAATTTATTCATATAGCACATTTAAAACAAAAACTGTTGACCAAAGTGCTATACATTTAAAACAATCAAAACTGATAAAAACATAGGAAGACATGACAGGCACAGGCTAAGGTCACTTAAACCCTAATGTCTTCGAAATTGCTACAGATAGCTTTTTTGCAACAGCCATCATCTGTAATAGTATTAATTCTATTAATAAGATACATACTTAACATGTATTAATCTATTTTTTAATAGTTACTGTGTGTAATGTGTTTTAAACTTTAATGGGCCAATCAGGAAACGGATTCTTAGACAATGACATTAAGGGAAATAAAATGTATTATAAAATGAAGCACTTTTAAAAGTTATATTTGTTCTATTTTAGTTATAGTGACAAAACAGGTGTTGTATTTTGGATCATTTGAAGTTTAAGGCCTTCTTTGTGAGGCCTTAGAAAGGGGTATTACGTGTTAAATGTTAAATATGTCACTAATTGTTCGGGTTGCTTGCATGTTATTAACTATCAATCCATTAAACACCTGTGAAAAACATTATAAAGTTATTAGAAAGGTTCAAGTTTGGTTCTGGTGTTATAATTGACAGATTTTGTTCTTTTTCTTTACTCCACCATCAGATCTTTTTCCCAAACGGTGAGTAGCGATGAGGATGCTGAGGAATGGAGGCCACCGAAGCCAAAGTCAAAAGCCCCCAACAAAACTGCTAGAGGTACTGCAACTGGTGAAAAGAAAACAACTGCCAAGAAAACTGCAAAACCAAAAGAGGCAAAAGCACCCAAAGAACCTAAAGCTCCCAAAGTGCCTAAAGAACCTAAGCTAAGGGCACCACGTAAACCTGCAGCAGGACGAAAAAAACAGGCTGCTAAAAGTCTAAAGGATTCTGAAGCCTCAGTGTTGGCTGGAATGGAGAGGAAAAAAGTGGATAACGATTATAGAGAAAAAACAGGAGGAATTCAAACTGACTGTCCAGAGGAAACGAGGGCTGAAGAGAGCGGGACTAGTGTCAGAACGAAGGAAGAGGTAAGGCAAACTTTCAGTGTTTATAATTACAGCCAAATGAAACATATTAGAATGTAATTATAATTTAACTTTTGTGACCCATTAATTACACAAAACTGTGGCTGTATTTATAATATTAAAAACTTATAAAACTGGACAATGAACTACACATCAATATTTACATTCTGAGTTGATGTCTGCAGAAAATGTCCATGTTCTAAATGTCTTGTGTTTGCATTTTTATGTTTTCTTTCATCTTTTCCTTGTTTTCCTTTCTTTCTCTTCTTTTCTTGTAGAGGGTGTCATTTATTGTGTCAGAATCCTATCAGAGAGACAGATGGGCAGACGAGGGGTCTTCACAAGCTTGGCTTGGAGTGAAGAAAGAGGAAGTAGATGCGGAGGATTTTACTTTTGATGAGCCCTGTTTAAAGAAACAAAAGACCAGTGCTGCCTGCATGGGACGGCCGACTAATTTACCATCATCTGAAGCGCAGTCTTTGAGGAATGAACTCAATATGAACTGGGACTTGATAGAGGTATTTTTATATATTATGTGGGAATTGTTTCTTTTTTTGTTTGTTTTTTGTCAGGTGGTAAAAAGACACCTCACTTAGTTTCAGACAGAAAATAAATGCTCTAATAAACGAACAGTTTGAAGGTGACCACCACCACCTGGCCAAAAAGCATATTTAGTTAAGAAGAGAATGACAACATCAACAAAAGAGAAACTGAGAAAGGATCAAAAAAGGATCATGGTGTAAATGGAAAAACTGATATTGGATGAAAAAACACTTTAAAATCCAAAATCCACTTACCTGTAACTCCTGGTGAGGAAAGGAAGAATAAGCCTTTTATATGAATCCTCCACTGCATTCCTAATGATTGCATGAAGTTCTTCTTTTGCAAATGTCTTTGGCCTCCACCTGCATTAAAGCAGTGGGGGTAAAGAGTGCGTACTTCTGCAAGGCGTTTCTACTGCTTAATGTGTTTTGTCAAAGCAAATGTGCCTTTGCAAACTGACTCTTGTGCTCCCAAGAGATGCTTTGCAAGTGTCATCAAAAACCCAATCTGTACAGAACCTTTTATTATAGTTTAAACCAGGTGGAGTGTTCTGCTTGTCATATTTGGTGGCACATAAGGAAACTACTCCTTTAATCATGAGAAATACGTCTTATCATTAGAGTAACATTTTGTTACCTTGCTTACAAGATGCCTAAGAATATATATTTAAAAATGGATAGCGTACTTTACAAATAGTACTTACAAACAACTGCTATTTGCTTCTTTTTCTATTTTACTGATTATTTAAATGGCTATTTCAGAGTGGCAAAAAACAGAATTAGCAAAAGTTGCTGTTACCTAGGAAAGTGCTGTGCTACTCATGCTTCCCAAAACTAATATTAAAAAAGAATACTAAGAAAATATTCAAAATTATGAGAATTGTTGCTTTACTTTTTACAATAATTTCTCAATGTAAAATCTAATTTAAAGATACCTGAAGCATAAGTCAAAAATAATGAATGGATTGTATTAAATTTGGAGTATTAAAAAAATATTAAATTTTCATTTTTGTCCTCTTAAAAAGCAATAATGACTCTCCAGCCATTTCTTAGTATTTCTATTATCGACTTCAGCCACAGGCAAAAACAGCCACAATACATACAGCACTGGTATCATATGTTCAGTTTTGTGCCTTTTGTACAAAAATCTTAAAGTCAACAACAGATGCCACACTTTCTGCCTTCTACAGTTCCAGTTTTGTATTAAAATTTTTAACAAAACATCATATGATCATGGCAGACACAAGTGTCAGTGAGTGTAACAGTGTTTGTGTATTTCTTGTGTCTGACCTGTTGTTGATGCACCACCTAGTGAAGTCACTCTTCACCCTGTCGGGGATGTTCACCTTCACTGTCAAAATCTTGAGACTCTCCCCTCGGTTAATAGCCAGCGTCTGCACATATATGCACGCATGAATGCAATACATATATTTCCACCAGTTACCGCACAGACAGTTAAACAAGACTCGCTGTTGTCCCTAAAACCAGCATCCACTGAAATCATAAATATTCAGATTAATTTATGTTTCTATATGTGATATACTTCATTTGAAGTATGATAAATAGCAACGGCTAGCAGAAATATTTTAGAAAAATGTATATTTTATGTGTATATTTTGTTTTAAAACACATAAGGCTCTGTCGCTTTAGTGCATGAACACGCTTTACTCACACAAACATACAAAAAAGAGAAAATCTTTGAAATCTCAATACACGTGCGTTAAAAGTGATGAGCCTAGGAGTATATCCCGTGGCCAGGCCTGTTTTGCTGTGCGGTCGTTCCCCCCTCAGAGGAACTGTTACATGCTGTTAAGCAAACAGTAGTAAGTGTCTGACCTTTTCAGTGGGGAACCTTTAGCCTGCCATAGAACAGGGCCAAGAAACAAAACGTCAATCTGGAGCCCAAGCGGAAGAAGCAAGCTGACAAATGCCACCACCATGCCACCATCAGCACTGAGACCGCAAGGCCTTCCCCCCACCCGCACCCACACAGTGCCACAACCATTACCACTCAGCAGCACCCTCGGAAGGGATGCGCCCATGTTCAACACACACACAAATAAAAACATAAAACACAGCTAATGGCATGGCAGAGACACGGATTAATGCAGCAAGTTTCCTTAAATAATGATGAAAGTTAAGATTTCTCCTGTGTTGACATGTTTCTCCCCAGGGCTGCCTCGCTGACTATGAAGAGATTTCTCAAAGAATCTTTATCAAAGAATAAAAGTTTAAAGAGGATTAATCTAAAAAAAAAAAAAAAAAAAGGCAAAACACTTCCTTATCTTGGAATTTAGGAAAGCCCATGAGTGAAATTAAAGCAGTAAATACAAAACAAAGCCTTGTTAAATCTGCGCTCTTGGGCTTTAAGTATTTTGGGTAATTAAGAATGACATATACTTTTATAGTGTTATTCATACGACACTGTCTGGCATCAACATGTGTATCATCAACTAGAAATAAGAAAAGATTAATAAAGTTTTCAGAAATTCAAGAATTCATAACACTTTAAGTAAATAGAAGCTGCACAGATAAACATAACAGTCTATCTATATACACAACACTATAATGTATGATAAAGATATAATTCAAATATGTATTTCTTATAAACAACTGCAAAAATGCACAACTGTACCAGAATTTTAGCTGCTGCTTCTAAGGTTTTATTGATATCACAACCTAAATGGAGAAAAAAAGAAATCTCTCCACAGTGTAGTGGTTTACACATTCAACAGAACACCAGTTCAATTCCAGGAGAAGACACAAATTCCTTTGGTATTGCATCAGGAAGGGTATTTAGTGTAAACCCTTCGAAATCAAACATGCAGAGATACGTGCTGTGGCAAGCCTTGGTGAATAAGGGAGCAGCTGAAAGTAGCTTTCTGGAAAACAAACAAACACTAAATTCATCTTCCTTGTTGTTGGTATGTATTCCAAATTCAGCTATGGTGCCAACAAAAGTAAAAGATCTAAGTTCATCCAACAGCAATTTTTGTTCATGCTCAGGTTTTTTCTATAGCAGATGACGGTCCTCAGTGATGATAAACACCAGTGTCTGGTGCTTCTCTCACTTTCTCTCAGTTTCTATCTGAGTTGGGTCACTGATGGGACACACAGGGTGATCTGGAAGGAAGGGTGATGTGAGACAGAGTAAGAACTGTGTTTGTGTTTTAGATGGGCCCAGAGTGACAGGTAACCAAGTACTGGCCAAACCCTGACAAGAGCAGACAGACCGTCTCTTCTAGATGCCCCTTATTCCTCCCACCAGCCCTGAAGGGAGGGCAGTCAGCCAACAACTATACTCTGTCTGTCTCCTTCTCTCTCTCACCCTTTCTTTAGAGGAATACTGTCATCAACACATCTATCCATCCGACATATCAAGGATAAACAAACAGACACACATATTCAGTGCCAACTTGCAGACTTTTTGACTTTGTTGACACACACAGGACACATTGTATATGAGTGACGAATGTGGTTGTATAACAGCTGAACAAAGCTGTCAGTAGAATGCTCAATATCCCTATATAAGTGAAGGCCAGTAGGATTAGAAATACAAAACTGGGCATATAATGGTCTGGATAAACAATAACCAGTAAAGTATATGGAATAATAAAACCAAAGTATCTTTACACAGTTTGATTTCATTTAAAAAATACGCTTTGTAAGGAACACACATGGAGTTTCCCATTCTCACTGTCGCACAGTGACGTGTTCTCACTACTGGTAATATGTCGCTTGGTTTAGGTAAAGGTAGCGAATAAATACATTAGGTGCAGAGCGTGAGGGAGGAAGGAGACAGAACACCTGATGTCCATTCGTAATCACTGATTACACAGACTTTGTACTACCCAGGTGGCAAAATAACATATTTTATATTTGACACATGAATCTGATTCAATAAGCCGCAAGTTGTACAAAGTTATAAAATCCTCAGAGCATCTCGGGCATTAAAACCGTTACATAAACTCAAATATACCACATGTACAGTACGCACACACACACACACACACACACACACAATTTTGCAGTACAAAATATGAACATACAAATAATCTTGTTTTTCTCCGCCTGTCCATCAAAAACAAGTGTTTAATTGATAAAACAGTTCCATTTACCCAAGCTTCTCTGCAGGCAAGCCCCAGACTGGAGCGCTGAACTACCATTTGATCACAGCGCAAATCGCATTAAAAACAGCCCACTGCATGTTTAACAAATCTTCCCTGGCATACTCGAGAGCATAGCAGCTGCTAATAGCTATAAGGTAAACGTGTACCCTTCAAAGAAGGCCTCAAATCATGTTAGTCGGAATTAAATCTGAGCTAAAGAGGGCACAGCTTAGCCTGGTGTGTGGTGTGCTCTTACAAAACTGAGGAAGTTGGACAAGTGAAGAACAAAAGAAGTGGCAGGCGCAAAAAACTATCAGCAGATGAACAGTAACTGAAAGTCGTACCATTGGGAAACAGTAACAAGAGATTTTGAATGTCCTTCATGAAGCCTGGAGAACTATTCCTGGAGACTACATAAGTTTGCCTTAGAGAGTTCAGGCTGTGTTGAAGGATAAAATGATACCGACTTTTGAGCTTGTTGAAACTGTACAAATTCTGCTTTTGTCTTATATACGCTACAATAAATCACTGTACTTTTTCCCCCATTTTCACTCATAAGAAATCATAAGAAAAGTTGGATTTTTTGTGCCTGAAATCATTAGCTGGTTAACAAGACAACAAAAAGTACTGAATTACTCATTTATTCCTATAATTTGTTTATATTTTCAGCCCTTTTTTCAAGAAAAGTTGAAAAATGCCAAACCAAAAAGTTTCAACTTCTAAAGTTCAGGAATGCACTCTTTTCCTTCACTTTGTGTGGTCATAAAAATCAGTGACATGGATTTTAGAAGGCAGCACGAGAAAAATCATCCACCAAATCTGTTATTATGGATTCAGAATTAAACTTGGGTGTCATTTCAAGCCCGTACTTTTGAATCAAGGTGAACACCTAATGTTCAGATGTTATCTTCTTGCTTAATTCTTTTCCTTAATGTATTTAACTTTGACGATGAATTAAGATGTGCCAACACCAAAACCTAGAATCCCTTTTATGTGTTACTTCATTAAGGAGATTAAAATTCTGAAGATGTACTTTCCATGCTACCTAATTTTGTTTTCCACCACAGGAGATCTATTCTTTCCACACCTTAATACAATGCCTTGCACTTTATTTTTAACAAACTACCATGGCTGGGGCTTAATAAAAATGTGCTAAAGCAAACGGGCAAGTGTGTGCTCACACACATGCCTCCTGTCAAAACACATCTCCCACCTGCTCCCCCTAACTGCCAACTTGACGGCTAGAAAAGGTTCATATTAGCCGGAATCTGACAGCTCGCAGGGTCACAGCAGCCTGTGGATTAACGCTCCGTGACAAAGGCGAGTCATCGAATTAAAGGCCTTGCATAGAAAGGGGAGGAGAGGCGCAAAGCGGAGGTGATGAGTGGATTGGAGGGCTGACGTTTAGTCAGAAAAAGAGGGAGGCAGAGTAGAGCGAAGCAGGAGAGATAAGTGACGGAAGCACCTCAGCACCACTCATCTGTTCATGCTCTGCCTTCCCTTACTGCCCCCCACTCCTTCTCCCCGTCCTTTTGTCCGCCTGTGGGCCCAGCAGCAGTAGCTGTCACTACAGGAGAGCGCCTGTCAATCAAAGCTCCCTAATCCAATGGCATGTCGGCAGGGGACATGTCACATATGTTAAGAAGAGAAAATGAGGGGACTCACAGGGTGCGCTTGTGTGTGAGCAAGTGTGTGTATGCATGTGCGTATGCGATTAAATGACTGTAGGGCAGAGAGCGGTTGCCAGAGAGTGTGGTGTGGCAGAGACAGCAGATGATGGAAGCTGTGGTGACACATGAGGCCCGGGCCCAACTCTGAGTAACCCACCAGTCACTAGAGGGACAGAGGGGGAGCAGAGGATGTGGTGCAAGATGCAGGAGGGCTAAATATGAAGGCACAGACAAGGCTAACTGTGACTGACATGGCTAGCATTCAGAAGTGGCATGCATTAAGCAGACAGAAATGACACAAGCAGATGGTGTGCATTTGTTCATGTTTATGTGCATGCGTGTGTGTATTTGAGAACTAGGGTAGTCAAAACACACTCCACAGCTGTAAATGACCTTTATGATCATCAAGAAGACTTGACTTATTTGTTGCTTTTCAAGTTTATTTGTTTTGTATGTATTTTCTCTTATGGCTGGGTTATTACTTGTCTCATTAGTTATATCATAAAAGTAAAGGTGTTAGAAGGAGTAATTCCAGTTGAGGTAAAAAAAAAATGGCACAAGAAAAAGTGTGAGTCTCAGTAGCGTAAATGTATCTTACAAATAAAGCAAACTGTCATTCTTTTTGTTTGGTTTTCGCTGTGGAGCAATTTTAGCCACCCTTTTCCGCAGAATTGTTCAAATTGAGCTACACTGAAGGGTTTTTGAACATGAACAGCCTATTTAATGTCATGCTAAAGCCTTTCAATTGGACTTAAGCTTGGACTTTGACTAGGCCATTCAAAACCTTTAATTTGTTTTCTGTTTTTTTTGTTTAAGCCATTCAGAGGTGGACTTTCAGGTATGTTTCAGATAACTGTCCCACTTTGTAACCTAAGTGTACTTGAATTTCAGGGAACAAACTGATGGCCAGATATTCAGGATTCAGAATTCATGGTTTCATCAAATACAAGTCACCCAGGTTCTCAAGAAGCAAGGTAGTCCCAGAACACCAAATTTCTACCACTATGTATGCTTGTTGGCACAATATTCTTATTATGAAATGCAGTGTTAGTTTTATGTCAGATGTAAAAGGAGTGAAAACTCCCAAAAAGTTACATTTTTGTTTCATCAGTCTACAGAATATTTTCTCAAATGTCTGTGAGATTATCGTTTATTTATTTATATAGCACATTTAATTACAAGACCAACGTTAACCAAAGTGCTGTACAAAAATACCAAATAACTAGTACCAAATAACTTATAATATTAGTACCAAACACCAAATACCTCTCATACTGTATTAAAAGCCAGTGAATACAAATGTGTTTTAAGATGAGATTAAAAAGACTGACAGTAGTCGCCTGTCTGATGTAGGGTAGATTATTCCACAGTTTAGGCTACGACCCCAAACGCTCGATCGCCTCTGTGAACCAGCCTTCGACCTTGGTATGGCTAAAAGCAAAAGATCATTTGATCTAAGAGATCTAAGAGGGGCATACTGCAAGAGGTCAGACAACCCGGGAGCCTGTCCATTCAGGGCTTTGTAAGTCAACAATAAAATTTTAAAATTAATTCTGAAGCGGACAGGGAGCCAATGAAGGGAGGCAAGTACCGGGGAAACCGGGGAAATGTGTTCACATCTTTTAGTACGTGTCAGAAGACGAGCTGCAGCATTCTGGACCAACTGCAGCCTTGCCAGGCAGGTCTGGCTGACTCCAGCATATAAGGAGTTACAATAGTCCAGCTGGGATATAATAAAAGCATGAATCGCTCGTTCAAAGTTTTTAAAAGATAAAAATGATCTCACCTTAGATAAAAGCCTCAGTTTGAAGAAAGACCGCTGTACAACTGAGCTAATTTGTTTTTCAAAGGTGAAATTGCTGTCAAATATAACCCACAAATTTTTGGCATGCAGCTTAATAAAAGACTCAAGACTGCGCAGGTTAAAATGAGAGGTGCTGGGATTGACACTTGGTCAAAAATTATCACTTCAGTTTTGTTGTCATTAAAGTTAAGGAAGTTAGAGGCCATCCGGGCTTTAATTTCACCGAGACACTGAACTAAGGGCTCCAGTGGAGCAGGACAGCTTCTCTTCAGTTGAAGACAGATCTGAGTGTCATCGGCGTATGAATGGAAACAAATGTTATATTTTCAAAAAATTAGACCTATGGGCAGCATATAAATAGAGAATAAAATTGGCCCCAGTATAGATCTCTGGGGAACACCACAAGTAAGGGGAGCTGAAGAAGAGATAAAAGCTCCAAAGCTCACAGAGAAAGTCCTGTCAGATCGGTATGACCTGAACCACTCTAGTGGAAGGCCCTTGATGCCGCAATGCTCCAATCGTGAGATCAAGATGCTGTGGTCAACAGTATCAAAGGCAGCTGTCAGATCCAAAAGCAAAAGCACAGCTGAGTCTCCTGAGTCAGGGACTAATAAAAGATCATTAAGAACTTTTAAAATTAGTTTCAATTGTGAAACTTTAAAACCAGACTGAAACCTCTCAAGAACATTGTGTCTGTTTACAAAAGAACTAATACAATCTTTTCCAAGATTTTCAATTGGAAATAGGTCTGAAATTTGAACGGACAGAGGAATCGGGATTAGGTTTTTTTAAGTAAAGGCTGTACATGTTTAAAACAAGCTGGCACAACACCTGAAGTAAGACTGCTGTTAAAAATCCTTAAAATGTCAGAAATCTTTTTTTAATGTGTTGGAACAACATCATTGGGACAAGATAATGTCTTCATGCCATTACATAGTTCCTCCACCTGATCAAAACACAGGCTCAAACTGATAAAAACAGCAGAGCAGGTGAATATTTCATGTGAAGGCAGGGCGATCATAGATCGAAGCTGTTTTATCTTATTGATAAAAAACTGCAAGAACCTTTCACAGGTGTCTGAGGAACTATTAATACAAGAAGCTGGGGAAATATTCAGGGCAGAGTCAATAATTGAAAAAAGAACCCGAGGATTATTGGAGCTATTCTCAATAACATTAGAAAGAAACCTTGACTTTTCTGCTTTAACAATGTCCTGATACCTGTACAGACTGTCTCTCAACATGAGAAAGGACACCTGCAGCCCATCTTTTTTCCACTTACGTTCAGCCTTCCTGCACTCTCGTCTGGCTGAACGAGTGGCCTTATTTATCCATGGGTCTGGTCGTGGTTTCGAGTTTATAGTTTTAAAAGGAGCGACCTCATCAAGGACAGTTTTGCATTTATCATAGAAATTAACTGTCATTTCCTCGGTACCAAAGCCAAGGGGAGATCTTAAAACTTTTTTAAAAGCAATAGAAAATTGTTCTGTTGCAGATGGGTTAAAAACACGACAACGACGTGTTGAAATAAGAGGTGTAAAATGGCGGAGAAATAAAAGTATGTCAAACACAACAGGACAGTGATCAGAAAAAACAGCATCACATATTTCCATGTTTAGGACCGGTAACCCTAAAGACAGCACAAGATCCAAGTTATAGCTAAAATGTAAAGAGAAATGTTTATTACAAAAGCACTCGAGCAAAATTTTAAGCTTATAATCACACTCCAAACGGTTACGCTTCTGCTATAAAATGTATTTGCACAAAACTTTTAAGGTAGATTGCAGACAATTCTTAAAAGGATAATTAAACTTCCTACCTGATGGGGTTGGATACGTTGGATGTTACAGGTGAAGTCAAAGTAGAGTTGGAACTTGTCAATGTCCTTGTTTTTATTTTGCTCGGCGCCTGCTTTTGTTTTGTGGCCTTGGACAGGTTTCGCCTGTTCCTTTTCCTTTAATGCCGACTTAGACAAAGACGACTGTATGCTTACAAAACTTTTCTCACATCTGGCACAAAAAAAGAAAGACATACAATATTAATAATTCATGAAGATACAAGAAAAATGAATTAGATTTTATGTGTATGTAGACAGACTCCTACAATGTCTTCACGTAGGTGAGTGTTTCAGGATCTTTGGCCATCATATCAGCCAATATGTGCTCCACACCTGTAGCCACTTCTGCCACTGATGACAGACCTGTCACACATATACACACATCAATAATGTACTTTAAATGAGTCAATAAATCTTTAAGAATTTAGAATGTGATTGTGTGTGTGTCTTCATCTGCATTGCATAACCATTTAATTAAATCATTTGGTAATCATTGGCTGGTTCAAGCAATACACAAAACAGCGCAGACCATGACAAGAGTGTGCACATGTTTATCAGTTACCTTCAGTACCAGGTTTTATCCATGCCCTTAAATCTAGAGTGTGTGGTGTGTTCATCAATGCAGAAGCAGCGTCCTCAAGGCCAAGTGCTTTGGCCCTGCGAGCTTTTGTCAGCTTGCTGCCTTTCTTATAGGGGGAGTACTGCAGGCAAAAACACAAACACTGGACTGAGCTAGTTATTAGTGCTAGAGCCCTTTTCATGTGTGGAGAGTCAAGAATGAACTAATCTTATTACAGTTAATTGATGGATAACACTTTGGAATACAAATTTGATTCTGACCACATGATCCAGTTCATCAGCTGAACGGCAGTTCCTCAGGTTTTGTTCCAGTTCAGTTGTTAACACCCCATCTTTCTTCAGGGTCTGAACCACAGACTGAGTCCTCTTTGCCAAAGAACTGAAGAACAAATATACACATAGAAGAAAGACAGATTATCAACTGTGCAGGACAAACACACAGAAATCAGAGAAATACAAATCAGCCACATGCAACTATTTCAGGCTTTAAAGCTTGACATATAGCACCATCTAGCTGCAGGACTCAGTATAGTCAGCTCATGTGGTTTCACAAATCTAATTCCAGTATTCTAAAATGCTCTTTCCATGCTTTTAACATATTGAGGGCATGAGTAGTGTAAGTAGTATAAGATCCATCCATCCATCCATCTTCTTCTGCTTATCCGGGCCGGGTCACGGGAGCAGCAGCTCAAGCAGAGAAGCTCAGACCTCCCTCTTCCCAGCCACCTCCTCCAGCTTGTCTGGGGGAACACCAGGCGTTCCCAGGACAGCCGAGAGATATAATCTCTCGTGTCCTCGGTCTGCCCCGGGGCCTTCTCCCGTGGGTCATGCCCGGAACACCTCACCCAGGAGGCGCCCAGGAGGCATCCTTGTCAGATGCCCGAACCACCTCAACTGGCCCCTTTCAATGTGGAGGAGCTGCGGCTCTACTCTAAGCCCCTCCCGAATGGCCGAATTTCTCACACCATCTCTAAGGGAGAGGCCAGCCACCCTTAGAGATAGGGTGAATCTGAAACTTATGGAAGTATAAGATTCATATTTTTTTTGTTTCATTGAACATCTTACATTCACTTACCATAACTCCTCATAAACCATCTGGACATCTCGAACAGCATCAGCATCCATGTGGTTAATCATGTCTTTCCTGTAGCGCACCATGAACGGCACAGTGTTCTCCTCACGAAGCAGCATAATGATGTTTGCACATACCCATCGCTCCACACATGTCAAGTGGGACAGCACCTGGGGGGGAATCACACACACAGGAATTGCAACTCTGCATCTACTCTACATGCATATATACACACACAGTTAAGCAGGTAGGCAGAAAGACACAAATTAACCTTCAGCAGAGAGCATTTGATTATATTTGATATGCAGAATTCTGGATCTTTGTGTGTATTAACTGATCACTGTTTTTTAAATATGTCAGTCTGCATTAAGAACGGCTACTTGTATACTTATGATTTTCAAACATCAGTAATGCAATACACTAAATTTGAAAAAGCAGTTGTGACTTTTTTAAAGTGGCATTTCTCTCCAGTAGCTTATCACCAAAACTGCATATGCGAATCACTGTCACATAGCCTAATTTAATTCTTGAGTCATAACTTTATGCAAATGAAGGTAA